GTGCTGGACACTGAGACTATACCCCACTTTCTCCAAATGCCTGACAGCGATGCCCTGACCCATGTGGCCCCAGGACCCACAACACCCACCCTAGGTGCTGCCCACTCCCCGGGGCCTGGTTGCAACTCCACCCTCTCCCTTCTCCTTCTCCTCACTGGCCACGGGCCCCGGACTAGGTAAGTGGTCATCTTTTCAGACACCAGCAAATTCACATGTTACCAGCTACAACAGGAGGTGAAGTGCTGGGAAGACCCTTCCCGCCTACATCCTGTGCTCGCTGTCCCGGCCTTCTCCATGAAACACGCTTCTGTTTAGTTCATCATCCAAGCCACGCACCTGCTGATGGGAACAATGGCATTATGTGTGCTCAACGTGACAGAGCAATGTCACTGAGGCACCTGTTCCTTTATCCTCTTGAGCTTATGGAAACTGCCAAAGGTTGGGGGACAAGAAACGTAAAATTTAAAATATTCTGTGGGGCACCTGGATGACCCAGTCCATTAAACATCCGACTTCGGCTCAGGTCATGATCTCACAGTTCATGCGTTCGAACTCTGCACTGGACTCTGTGCTGACAGCTCAGAGTCTGGAGCCTGCTTCAGATTCTGTGCCTCCCTCTCTCTCTCAAAAATTAAATGAACATTTGAAAAAAAATTAAAATAATCTATCTACTCACGTTAAGAAAATTTAGGCAAGGCCATACCGGTTCAAATTAACAATCAGCCTAATTAGCTTAATCAGAAGCAGAAACAGAACTCTGCCCCTCCCAGACTGCGGCCCTGTCTGGCTGGGGCAGGCTGGTCCGTACACCACACACACCCAGGTGAGCGCCTCTGGCAAAGGGGTAGATACGAGTCGCAGCCCCGCACAGATGCTGTATGCGTGGTGGAAAGGCCACGCATACACTGAAACTGGTGGTTTCTGGAAACTGGTGGTTTGCTGCACTGGTTAGCAGCTGACCCTGGGAGCTTCTGGGGCTCGGCTCTGCTGCCCACAGCTAGGACAGAGGCAGGCAGGGCAGAAGCAGCACAGTGAAGGGAGAACAAACAGGCCTCAGTGACTGGGCCCCGGCCCCAGAGCAGAGCGGGGAGGGCACGTGAGGAGAAGAGGGGCACCTATGCCAACCAGCACTAGGTGTCCGCTGGCCGGACTCTGGCTGACAAAGCCTGGAGAGAAGGGTCAACCAGGAGGTCAGCAACTAGCTGCCCAGGACCCAGGAGAAGGGGGTCGGGCAGCCAGTGCCTAGGGAGACAATGGGTGTCAGCCCTCCCCACCCCACCCCTGCCTGTGACAGCTGCAGGGTCTCAACTTGTCTGAGATTTGGCTCCTCATCTGCAAAAGGGGATGATGATGGTCAGCAGGGTGGCGGAGAGGACTAGATCACAGACAGAGCCGAGGGGGAGCCCCGCGCTGTGACCATGCTGGGCACACCTCACACTCAGGGCCAACTCCCCTCTTGGACCCTGGAATCTGACAGAAAAAGATACAGCCCAGTAAACTGCCCAGAAAATGGACAGAATCCAGACACAAGCACCAACCACACACAGGAAAAAAAGAGACTATGAGGTGACCCGGTGACCAACACCAGCTTTCTGTCAACACCGACACGCTGCACACAGGCTGCTTGTTCGTTTAGGACACACGGCAGTCAACGCCTCCCGGGTACACATCTGACACCAACAGTGGGGACAAGGCCGTGGACGGTACACCATGGGCAAACTGCCCAGGACCCACCCGACTCAGGAAAACAGCAGGCGCTTCCCCTCGGCTGGCACTGAGGACACAAACCAGCCTCCAGCCAGATAGGAAGAGATGTTCAGAACTATCTAGTGAAAAACCATGGAGCCCGGGACACGGAGCTCCAGCCTAGCCAGCAGGGGGCTGACGGGGCACCGGCTGACGGGGCACCGGCTGACGCTCTGGACTGCTCCCCCCACGGGCACAGCAGGCATTGTTTGCTTCCACAAACATGGACACCCAGCAGGCCCCAGAAGCGCACGCAGACCTCATGCTCACCTGGCTGTGTCCACACCCGTCACAAACGCCTCGCCCCTCCTACCAACCCTGCCGGCCATGCCCGAGACTCAAAGTACATCCGGCAGCTCCCCGCAACACTGACCCCTAGAGAGGCAGACAGGGAGGGGCGGGCTCGTGTCCACTCGTGAGTCTTCCAGGACGTGGGCCTATTAACCACAGTCCACTTTCCCGTCGGCCCTCAAGCCTCAATGTGAAGATCTGTGACATTCACTGCCCTCAGAAAAGTGGCGATGGGCCTGTGCACCCACAGCAAGAGCGTCCCTGGGCTCAGGGGGCCCCCAGCACCCCCCACACTCAGGGCAGAGTCAGAGCTGGGCTGTGCTCAGGAGGAGAAGCTGCTCACGACACACCTGTACCACCTTCCCGCCAGCTTCCACAACCAACAGTCCTTGACAAATGCGTCTAGAGCACAACTTCCCAGAGGTGGCCCGGCTGGGACCTCTATGCGGGTATTGCTCTCTCTCCTCTACAACCACTGCTGTGTATCTGGCAGAGAGAGAAATGAAACCTCCTGCAAGGAAGGTTTCCAGACCACAGAGACCTGCAAACACAGTGCACACCAGCCCGGCCACACAGCAAGCGCCGGCTGTGGGCTCTCGGGGGCACGGGCACAGGGTCACAGATGGCTGTCACTGCTTCAGGAGCCAGCACCAGAAAGACCATTTCGATAACTCCCATGTGTGCAAAGCTGAGAATGGTGCATGCTCACACACCTGTCTGAAGGACAAGCTAAGTAGGACTTCGGTGCAGGTAAGTAATCAGGTTGCCCAAGGAAGGCCGTTTGATCACACGGGTCCTTCACCAAGCAGGGAACGCCTTGCCAAGGGTCATCTGCTCCTGGTCAGAGGAACCAAGCACAGGCATAACACAAAGAAACCCGGAGAGACGTTGAAGCCTTTTAATGGTGACGGGGAAAAAGAAATACACGCATATCCTTTATAAGAGAATAAAAAATGAACAATTCCTGGGCCGTCTGGGTGGCTCAGTTGGCTAAGCATCCAAGTTCGGCTCAAGTCACAATCTCGACGTTTGTGAGTTCGAGCCCTGTGTCAGGCTCTCTGTCCTCATTAAAGATCCTGCTTCCGTTCCTCTGTCCCTTGTCCCCCCTTCCCTCCCACCCCCCGCCTCTGCTCCCCCTGCTCTTTCTCTCTCTCTCAAAAATAGACATTAAAAAAAATTCCTGAACATTAACTCTTCCAAAAAACAAATTTACATTCTCACGGAATCCTGAGAACCAGCTGCTCCAGAGCTTCCAAACCCTCAAGTCTCCCTTAAGAAGCCTTCAGAGGAGAAGAAAGAGGTGCTCTCACAGCCACCAAGTTCATTCTGCTAAAGAGCACTGTCCCCGGGGGCCGTGAGCTGATGCCCTGACCGTGACACCCACTCCTCCTGCTGCACCCGCCTTACCCCTGAGGACCCTACACAGACGCTGGCACTTTGCGGTTTCCACTTGACTTGTGAGTGTGCCCTGGCCCTAAATGCACACACGGCCTTTCCAAGGGGGGCTTTCCTCACCACTTCTGGGAGGTGGCCCTCCCACTGGACCAGCCCCACTGTCTCAGGCAGGTCTACTCCAGTCAGCCCGCCACAGGAGCTAAGGCGGCCACCACCTCCCGACAGAGGGGACGGGGGCGGGTCTCACCTCTCCAACCAGCGGCTCAGTGTGCCCTGAGTGCTGGCTGCCCCCGACTGGAGTACCTGACGGGGAGGCCGAGCTAAGCCTCAGAAGCACAGATTGAGGTTCCAGGAAAACACCGCTGCCCCTGACGGAGCCCGAGCTTCTCATGCTCTTATAAATGCCCACCACCAGCCTCCTGGAGCCACGCTCCAGTGCCACCACTGAAAAGGTAGCCCATCTGGTCACTGTCCGAGTCAGGAGGACACCTCTGACAGTCACTGCCTAGCGTCCATCGAGGTGGCAGGAGCCAATGAAGGCTCCTGCTAAGGCCCCAGTGGAGCCCCTCCCTCACCCAAACACACCCAGGGCTCCTCCTTCCTTGCCCTTCGAGCAGCCTCCTCTGGGGAGCTGAGAGCACAGACAGTAGGAGGCAAATCCAGAGTGGCTGCCACCACCCAGGCCGCTCCAGCAGGCGGGGCGTCCAGCTAGCCCAGGTGATCCAACAACCCTGACAAGTCCTAGTCCTAAAAGGAAAGGGTGGGAAAAAGAGCGTCCACCCTGACAGCCGCCTGTAGGCGAGCCATTTAGCAAACAGCGAATGCTCAGAGTAGTCTGACAGGACCGACCAGAGACCAAGAAACAAAGCAACAAAGGGCGTGGAGAACAAAGGCCTGAAGAAGCAAAATTAGATGAAACTACTTGCGGGAGCACAGAGGTCCTTACAAAGCCTGGATGCTGATCTTCCCTAAGCGGTTCTCCTGGTTCCTCTAAAGGGACCCCAAGTCCACGTGGCCTGGGACGGCCCCTAGCACAGAGGGGGCACCGATCCCACCGCTGCCCTGGCCGTGTCACTCCCTTGAATGGGACGCGGATCTGCTGCGTGTTTGAGCCGCGCAACCACTAGCGTTGAGAGCGGGGTACGTCCTCCCAGCACCGGGCGCCGCCGCGGGGTCACGGGAGCGGCCCGGCTACCGCTGGCCACCTGCTCACGGGCTCTGTGCCTGCACCGCACAGAAACCCCCGCACCTACGTCCTCGCCCCCACTTCCACAGCCGCTGACCGGGCGCTGCCTCCCCGGGGCCGGCCCGGCGGGGCGCCGGCAGCCACCAGGCCGCTCGCCGCCAAGTCGCGGCCACCCGTCAAGCGCGCAGCCCCCACGAAGGCCTCAGGCCGACGAGCAAAGCGCCCGGCCGCCCGGGAGCTCCGGCTGCCGAAGAAAGCGGAGACGGAGACGCAGGCCCGCTGCCCGCCGGCGCGGGGTCGGCCCGGGCGCCGCGGACACGAGCCGGCAGGCCCCCCGCGGCTGCCGGCGGGCTGGACGGGCGGGCCCGGAGCGCGGCCTTACCGTTGCTGTAGGCGTACGGGGACTCGGCCGCGCCGTCCTGCAGGCTCTCCAGGATCTCGCCCTTGCCCACGTCGCTGTCGCCCACCAGCAGGAACTTGAGCAGGTAGTCGTAGCTCTTGACCGGGCTGCCCTGCGTCCCCATCCTCTCACGCGCGCGCGGGCCGCGCCCGCATGCCCACGGCGCCGGCCGCGGGAGGACGGCGGGGAGGAGGCCTCGGACCGACCTGCGGGCCGGGGGCGCGGGTGAGTGGGGACGGCCGACAAGGCCCCGGCCGGCGGCGAGGGCCCGGCCGCCCCCGCCGCCCGCACCTGCACCGCCACAGCCGCCGCCGCCGCCCCCGACACCCGCCAGCCTCACCTCAGCGCTGCCGCCGCCCCGCCGCTTCCCGCACGGAGACTCGCAGCCCCGCCGCCCCGCCCCCGGCTCGAGCGCTGCCATTGGCTGTCCCCCCGCCCGCCCGCCCAGGCCCATTGGCCCCTACGCAAGTCCGTCACGGCCGCCCGCCCCCCCCACCTTTTCCCACACAGCTTGGTGAAGCCTCATGTCGCCCCGCCTCCACACCGTCCTCATTGGTCGACCCCAGCTTTTTCTCATCGCCATTGGCCCGTACGCACGTCCGTCAGGACTTCCCGCCCCCACCGTTCCCCACACAGCGTTGCGGAGATGCTGACCGCCTCACCTGGTCGCCGTCGCCATTGGCCACTCACCTTCGTGTTTCCCGGAACCTCTGGTTGCCGACACGTCCGTCAGCACCTCTACCGCCCCCGTCGCTTCCCGCAGAGCACCCCGGAGTCACCAGCAACCCCGCCCTCTGCCCCCACAACACCTAGGCCCTCGCCCGCCCCCTCCCCCTCTCCATTGGCCACCGCTGCCTATCTTCCCAGAGCCACTGGCCCACCCACACGTCGATCACGGCCCCTCTAAGCCCGCCCTGCTCACCCCGTGCTTTCCTCCGCTGTCCCTACACGCTCACCAATCAGGAGCTTGGGACTCCAGACTGTTTGCATACGCCCCCTTCCCGCGGGCAGAAGCAGGGTGGTGGGCGTTCCCGGGGCGTGGTGACGCGGCTGGGCCCCAGACGAGTAAAGCCTCTAGCAAGCTGCGGCCGCTGCCCCCGCAGAGACCGCAGCGAGGACAGCGAGGCTCCCTGGAACTGTGCTCTCGGGAGCCGCCCTCCTCGCGTTGGGGCGGGGCCCAGGCGTGGCGGGACGAGGTCGGCGAATCGGCGCCCGGGGGAGGCCTGGGAGGCGGGACTTCCTCCCCCGGTGGGGGTTGGGCTGTCGGGGGCGCTCGGAGCCCTCCCGCGGGCTGGTGGGGATGAGGGGCGCCGCGGCCCGTCCGGGTGGCCTCCAGGTGAGCGACTGCGAAGGCCCAACGTTCTCGCACGTCAGCGCCCGGGAGGGCGGCAGCACGGGCCCTGCCCCCGGGGGCTCGAGGCAGGAGCCGCGCCGCCCACGCGGTCCCAGCGAGTCAGGCAGGGTGGGGGTCCCAGGAGGCGCGGGGCGGGGCGCTCCGAGGCAGGACGGAGGGGCCTCCAGGAGGAAGTGACCCCGCGGCTGTTTACGGGAAGAAAGGGTTATTTTTCTTAATGGGCGAAGAAGTATGAAGAACCTGTGAACACGTATGAAGACGCAGTTTCACTCTGCAAAATGGAAAGTAAAGCAAAACAATACCCCTTCCAGCCATGAGATTGGCAACAGCACTTGGGGGCCAGACGTGTAAACGGCGCTCTCGCCCCGGACAGGCTCGTCGTCTAGCCTGGAGAAGTCCTCCGAAGCGAGGTCAGCGGCCTCACTGCAGCGTCGTAGGGGCGTGGAAAGGTCCAGGGACCGTCTAGGGCCGCTGCTAGGGGGCTGCTAGTCAGCCTCGGTCACGCACCCTCTACAGTGAACGAGGTGAGGTGCGGACAGTACTGTGGTGCGAAGAGATGGGAAGCACGAAGATGACAGCATGGGATGGCCAGTGTAATGTCAATATTTATGCTCTTAAAAAGCCGACAACACATTTTGTTCCAGGTTTAGGTATATAAAACTACAATACGTCCATAGGAAGAGGTGTGGGAAGTATGCTCACCAACCGGACAGCATTGGGTCCTCTGGGATTGGGGATCAAGAGTGACTTTCTCTGGGCGCCTGGGTGGCTCTTCCCAACTCTTGGTTTCGGCTCAGGTCATGATCTCAAGGTTCTGAGTTCTGCCTGGCATTGGGCTCTGTCTTGATGATGTGGAGCCTGCTTAGGACTCTGTCTTTCTGTCCCATGCGTGTTCTCTCTCTGTCTCTTTTTAATTTTTTTTAACATTTTACTTATTTCTGAGAGAGAGAGAGAGAGAGAGCGTGAGCAGGGGAGGGTCAGAGAGAGAGCGAGACACAGAATCTGAAACAGGCTCCAGGCTCTGAGCTGTCTGCACAGAGCTCGACACGGGGTTCGAACCCATGAACCGTGAGATCATGACCTGAGCCGAAGTCGGATGCTTAACCGACTGAGCCACCCAGGGACCCCTCTCTGTCTCCCTCCCTCTCCTTCTCTCTCTCTCTCCATGTCTAAAAATAAACTTTTAAAAAAGTGCCTTTGTCTTCACTGATAATATTTTTATGAGAACATTATTTACATATGACACTTAATAATGAGTAACCAAAGGGCGCCTGTGTGGCTCAGTCGGTTAAGTGTCCAACTTCTGCTTAGGTCATGATATCATGGTTTGTGAGTTTGAGCTCCTCGTTGGGGTCCGTACTGACAGCTCAGAGCCTGGAGCCTGCTTCAGATTCTGTGTCTCCCTCTCTCTCTGACCCTCCCCTGCTCATGCTGTGTCTCCCTCTCAGAAATAAATTTAAAAAACAAACAAACAACAAAGCAAAAAAAAAAGAGTGAGTGACTTTGCAGAGAACTGGGCGATCAAGTGGACGTTACCAGGATGGACGGACGCCACGTGCTTCCCAAGGTGACACCCTGGGAAGGCCACAGTCGAATGTCCAGAATCTTCCTGCCAAGAGCACAGGGGCTGAATCTCCTGGTAAGAATCGTCAGCCAAGCCCCACAGAGGTGATCGGCAGGCAGGCTGGGGGCACCTGAGGTATACGGCCCTGAGGAAGGGCGCAGCGAGTGTATGTGGGGGGAACGGGGACGGGCTGCTGCAGAGGTCACCAGGGCACCCAGCGAGGGGCCCGTCCACACTAATCCAACTCCCCTCGCTGTGCTGTGGCTGCAAAGTACACACTGGACATTTTAGAGGCAAAATTAAGAGCAACTGATGGTCAAATCGTTTGGAAAAAAAATAGGGCACAAATACGAAACAAACGTGGTGGCATGTGAGCGATGGGGAGCCCAGGTCGGGTGCTGAACGGTCCCGTGCACTGCTTTTCTGTAAGTCTGAAATCTGTAAATGTAAGGAGCTTCCAAACCAGGCAGGGCAGGCTGGCCGGGAGAAAGCGGGGCTCGGGCCCGCCCACCGTGCGGCCTGCGACTAGTCACCGTCCCTCTGAGCCCGTCTGACTGTGGCGTGTGGGAGGCCACGGTCTTCCAGCAGCTGTGGGAGCTGAGCGGGAAGTGGCAGCCCTGGACGAAAAGGAAATATCTGCTTCTCCGGGTGACCTGAGGTCCAGCCTCAGGGAAGCTGCAGCACAGGGCGCTGCCCTGGCCAGCATGGCAGAGGTGGCAAGGGACCGGGGGCGAGGACAAGACCACCCACAGATGAGGGTTGTTCTTGGGAGGATGGGAGTGGCCTGGGAGGTGAAGGAGTTATCTCCCAATGGCTGCAAGTGGCTGAGTGACCGGCGCTGCCCTCAGGAGACGGGGAGGCAGCCCGGCACAGAGGGTGACAGCTGCCCGGCAAGGCCTGTCAAGTGGCCAGCACTGTGCCGAGGGCTGGCCAGAGCCCTGAGGGGCCAGGCCGCGGGCCCCACGCCATCTCAGGTTTTGGCATCTGCTGGCAAGACAGACAGCTGGCTGAGGCTGTCCTCAGCAGGCTCTCGGGGCCTGGGGACAGGCCTGAGCAAACTCCGGGTCCTCTGCTGGGTTCTGGCGCCGCTCCATCCCCTCCAAGCTCTCCCCGCCTCAGAGCAGAAGGGCGTCCCAGGAACCCGCAGGGGTCTCGGAGGGCTCGTACCTGGCCCCTGCTGACTCTCGGGTGGAGGCGCAGCACGGGGAGGGGCCGGCCTCTCTGGATGCCCGCCCTTCCCTGCAAGCCAGCATGGCAGGTGCGCAGGTGGCCACCCGAAGCTCCCTCGGGGCTGCAGGAGGGGTAGAGGCAGGCAGCCGGGAGCCCTGCCCGGTGTGGGGGCCACAGGTCTGTGGTGATATATTCATCAGGGCCAGGGCAGCTCTCTCCTGCCCCGGGGAGGCCTGCACCCCGGCCCTCAGCCCCGGCCCCCACGCCAGGGCAAGGCCAGAACCAGAAGGGGAGTGGCCCCGGGTCCACCCACCCACACGCCAGGACACCTTCGAGGGGCCGGAGCTTCCACACCCACTGCCAGATCTGCAAGGAGACCTGCTTCGGGGGATGGGGTGCCCACTGCCCCCCAGGTAGGCATCAAACAAGACACGGGTGCCACAGACACCTTAGGGCCAATGATGGGGGCCGGCTGTCCCGCCACCCCAGAAGGGGCACCTCGCCTCGTCCCCACCCCCGTCAGGATGAAGGGAGGGGGCCTCCTCAGGCCCACCGCCCGTGTGGCAATGGGAAGGCAGAGGCCGCACTCCAAACAGGTGGAAGGTTTTATTGTCTCAGCAGAAAAAGGCAGGGCCAGGACCTGTCCCGCCATATGCCGGGCTGCTGGGGACTCCCCCGGGGGCTCACCACCGAGGCCCACAGCCAAGGAGTGCAGGTGGCAGAGGTGGACAGTCCCAAGGGCCTGCAACGGACAGAGGAGGCTGCCCCTTCTCCTGCTCCGGCTACACCAACTCCAAGACGACAAAAGGCAGAGGCGCCGTCCGCACGCGCAGTCCTCCCGCTGCGGCTCGCGGGGCAGCGCCCGCGGTCACACTGCACGGAGGCCAGCAGGCAGACGCAGCCTGAACGCCGGGACACCCCCCCCCCAACACACACACACACTGGAGGCCACGGTCTGCCTACGATCTGCCTGCTTCTGTGAGAGGCCAGTGAGGAAGGTGGAGACATGGCCAAGGGGCCCGTTCCTGCTGGAGTCCGGGGCAGGGACGCGGCAGCGGGGTGAACGGTGGCTTGGTCTCTGGCCAGGTGGCTCTGGGCACACACGGGGAGACCCGAAAGCCTGCGGCGGCTCCTGCAGGGTGGTCTCTCCGGGGGCATCGAGCAAACCCCGTGTGACCCAGGCTGTGAGGGCCATGCTGTCCAACTTCCCGGAGGGCTCGGCCCCCTCGGGACTTCTGGTTTGGGCTGGAGACCCAGGAGAGCAACTCCCAAGGAGGGGATGCTTGGGGGGTCAGCCTCAAGGGCTGCTGAGCGCATCCGGGAGGGGTCCCTCTGCCTCCTGACAGGGAGACTGCACCCCCTCCCCCCACTGGGAGTGGCCATCGTGGGAAGGGGCGGAGCCTCTACAAACCCCTTCCAGAGTCTGGGTGTGATGGGAGGGGAGGGGTGGGGCTCCCGGGCAATGCCACGGCCACAGGCCAGGCGGTAGGTCCGAGGCAAACACCGCCAGTGACGGAGCAGCGGCCTGTTGGCCCGGCTGGCCGCCCCCGCGTCCTGCTCAGCACCACGCAGCCTCAGAGCCGAGGCCTCAGGCACCGGGGGGCAGAGAAGGCAAAGAGCAGGGATGCGAGCCGCTCTGACAGCCAGTGCCCCTGGCAGGGCGGAGGGCTGACTGCGGCGGAGCCGGGCGGCCCGGTGGCCAGGGTCTGTCAGTCCTGCTTGTCCCCCCTCTGCCGCCAGGGGTAGATGAGTTCCCCAAAGAACAGCTTGCGGCACAGGGAGCCCCAGGAGTGTGTGGGGTGGCAGCCACAGCTGGGGAGGCGGTAGGTGTGGATCACGCGACCGTAGGGCAGTGGGTTTATCTGGAAGCACAAGGCGGGGGTCAGCCAGCCCATGGCCCCCCAGTGCACTGGGCTGCCCATTGTGCCCTCTCGGTGGTACCCAGGGGTAGGCGGAGGGGCCCGAGGGGGAACGCGTGGGCCGAGGCCGAGCGTGCCCTCCTGGAGCGAGGCTTTGGGGAGGGGAGGTGGGCCAGGCTGGAGGGGCAGAGACCCCTGTACTGCAGGACTTCCCCCACAGGAGCCTCCCAAGGGGTCTAGGAACACCCCCACCCCAACCCCGAGAAAACCACACAGGGTCCTGGCTGCCTCAGCACCTGAGATGCAGCCCTCAGGCCAACCTCCCCCCATCAGCACCCAGTGAGCCACCGGTAACCCGCCTACTCCCTCCTATAGGCCAGAGGGACCGTTTCCGAGAGAAGAGCCCAAGAGAAAAGGCTTGTGTGTCCCGAGGCCTTCGCCAAGTCTGTGCTCGTCTACCTGGAATGAGAGCCCGTGGGGCCCAGGGCAGGAAAGAAGGGTGCGGGGCCCAGCGGGCAGGAGCCCTGGGGGCCGAAAGCATCCGACCCAGCACAGGGGGTCCCTTCCAGTGTCCTGCTGAAGGAGGTTCCAGGCAGAGGGGGTCACAGTGCCTGGAGGCCTCGAAGGTGAGCCTCCCCTTGGGTCCCACCCATCAGCTCTGCTGCGCCCGCAGCCCTGCACCCAGGGGGGCACAGAGGGATAAGACCCCAGCTGCCCCCAGATGTGGGCATCACCACAGCAGGGGGGTGCCAGGTCAGTCTGCGGGTAGCAGCGTGAGGGGTGCACAGAGGCCTCACCTGCATCAAGAGGCGGAGGGGCCTCCCAGCCTCGTGCTCCAGGACCCGGAACTTCACACCGGCTGCAGGGGGAGCAAGGTGCCCGTGAGGGAGGCCGGAGGCTCCCCGAGGCCCGCAGGGCCCGCAGACAGCCTCCCAGGCCTCCGGCATCAGCACAGGCAGGTGTGGGCAGAAGTCCCCTGCGCCTCCGGTGGCACTCAGAAGGCTGTGGGTGGCGCTGGGACGCACCATGGGCTCACCCGCCCCCACTCCACCCAGTCTCCGTGTCTGTCCCTGAGCTGACCACCTGGCCACAATCAAAGCTTCCACAGAACTTCATGGACAGACAGACGCTGCGGGCCTGGGAGGCAGCGGGAGCCAGCTGGGCACTGCGGCACATGCTGTGCTCTTTCCGAATGGATGCGGGCTGTCCCACAGGATGGACGGGCACCTGGTGGCGTGTGGCCACCCTGCTGGCAGCTAAACGTCTTCCAGATTCTGTGTGCGCGGCTGGCTCGGGAGCCCTCCGTGCCCCTGGCCTACAGTTTGTGCTCCCATCCTGGGAATTCCCAAGGCAGAAAGTTCTCAAAAAAAGAAGCAGGAGCTAATTATCAATTGATGAAGAGACCCCAAGGCAAACTCACTGAAACAGAGAGAGGCAGCAGCATCTGTGGGACTTTACGTGAAGTTAAAACAACCCTGCTCTGGCCATGAGCTGGGGGCAGGGGAGGGGACCCGGGTCTCTCTGGCTGTTCACCTGCCTGGTCCTGGCACCGACGTGCGGGCAGAGGCTGGAGCCCCTGGTGTCAGCCACCCAGGGGTCTGCAGGGGAAGTGGTCTGGAAAGGGAACTTAAGGGCATCCAATAGGCAGACATTAGGTCCAAAGCCCACAGAACATGCCGGAAGCAGCGGCCTGAGCTACAAACTGGACGCAGGGCCAGGAACTCTCCACATTCCCTGATGTGCTCAAAACCCCTGAACAGGACAGACCAACTCGCGATGCTGTGACCAGTTCGGTCGGCCTCTCGGGGCCTGCCGTGGGGACAGCCTCCCCTCAGGGGCATCGGGCCAACCTACGGGTTGGTGTCAGCATGAAAACAGGGGCAGCCATCTGCAGAGGGGACAGCCAGGGCAGCTAGGACGGTGGGTGCTGTCCCGGCGGGCAGGGGTCTGTGGGGTGGGCCGGGGCTCCTGTCACACAGGTCTGGCCAGCCCAGCATCCTCCACCCTGGGCTGTCCCCTCCGAGGTTCAGGGGCACAGGCAGGCACGCACAGTCACATACAACCACACAGGGACACTTCTCCGAGGCACGTGCCTCACCCAGACTACACACAGACCTCAGGACAAATGTTCATACTCATTGCAGAAAAGGGTGACAAAGAGGAAAGGTCGCCTCTGCAGCCTCTAAACCTGAGGGCGAGGTTGGGGGGGGGGCTCTGGCTCGACGCAGGCAGCCGGCCCGGTGGACACCCAGGGACCCTCCCCCACCAGCCGCCCCTCCCCCACCCACTGCTGCTTCCAGGCAGGGGGCGCGCGGCGCAGGGACCTACCCGCAAGCCTGTATGGCCGGCAGAGCCGGAGGCCGAGGGAGTACAGCGGCAGGGAGTTGATGACGTCCACGAGCACGTGGATCAGGCCCTGCACGGCCACCACCAGGAGCCGGAGCTGCAGCACAGACAGCGCTCAGAGCCGTGCGCATCTCCACGACTACAGCAGCCAGCGGGGTCCTGGGCCCCGACGAAGGGTGACCAGGGGCTCAGGACCCCTGGGGGGGGGGCGCGGCTCCCACCCGGATCCTAAGGCCCGGGTCTGAGGAGGCAGGGAAGCAGTGAGCAGCAGCAGCTGAGCCCAGGGAAACATGGCACCGGGCCCTCCCTCCGCCTGGGCCAGCTGAGTGCTGCGTCCCCCGAGTCCTGTCCTCCAGGGCCAGGCTGCGTGGCCCCCAAGGGTAGAGCCCAGCACAGTGCCCAGAAAGCACGGAACGGCCGCACGCTCCATGGACTGCGGGGATAGAGGGCTCGCCCACCCCCGCCTGGCCGCCAGGCAGAGCATACACTGATCACTCTGAGCCCTGGGCGCGAGGCCCAGGGGCCGGCTCGGCCGGGTGCCACGGCCAATGCCCTCCCAGGCCGCGTGCCCCTCGGCTCACCAGGGTGAACACCAGGTAGTACAGGGCTGCGGTGGGCAGGAGGAAGACCAGGATGGTGAAGAGCAAAGTCCCGATGAACAGCTGCAGGGAGAAAGGGCACCACCATCGGCATCAGCGAGAGCCGCACGCCGGGGCAGCCCCCTTGGCACTGGCCACACCTCTGCTGCCGTCCCCACCAAACCCATCCCGTAACTGAGCGGAAAAGGGACCCCTGCTGACGGGACACCCTGGCTCCCTGAGACAACACAGGAAAAGCTGCTCACAACAGCTTTGTCCAGTGCTGGGAGGGACGCGTCCACACGCCCTCCAGACACGGATGGGCAGAACCAGCCAGCGGGACGTGAGCACATACGCCAAAAGCAGGCGGGTTGTGAATATCAGGCAGGACACGTAGGTCTTGGGGGGCCGCACGCAGGGCCCACGCGCCAGGTCTAAGCTACAGGGAACGCCAGAGGCAGGCCCTGCACCCAGGTCACCTGTACGTCCTGCTGTCCAGTGGGTCCCGGGGGCCCAGCACCCTCCTCAGGGCAGCGTCCACCTCCCACCCGGGGCAAGGCCCTGTGCTGTCAGAAGACCCCACGCGCACCCTGGCCCTCGCAGACCCCTCACGTTCCCAGGGTCCACGCCCACCCTCGGCAGGTGAGCTGTGGACAGGAGTGCGGTCACCCCGTCATGGTGCCAAGTGGCTACGCTGGCCAAGCCATTCGGAGGGACCAGAGGGACTGGAGCAAGGGGGGCATGGGGCAGTGGGCAGGGGGGCAGGGGGGCAGTGGGTGGGGATGAGGGGGCAGGGGGCAGGGGGCGGCCTGCACTTTGGGCTGGGGCAGAGGCAGTGTGGTTGGGTGTGTGCTCAGGAACCTGGAAGGAGCTATGGGAGGAAGGAGCCAGGGCAACAGTGAGCACCGATTCCTGGGGGAAAGAGCAGGCCCAAGGCCTGTGTGTAGGCAGGTGGGGGTGGCAAGGCAGGACAGCTGAGCCTAGCACTTGGAGTGCCCTGCCCTCAGAGGTGGCATGGGGGG